TTATCAGCAACTGAATGTGAGACCTGTAACACTATAGAAAACACTATAAAGGTTGCAACATTCAAGTCTCTTTCCTGTGGGTTTCTTATTTCTTGCTCTGGCCAGCTAGTTCATTCTCTATTCTCCCTCTGTAGATTGACTTATTTGATTTTTTTCTATCCACATTATAAAAGGTCATTGCTTCAAAGAATTTACATCTCCTCACTTACATGACCAGTAGAGAATGTACTCCCCTGACACATTCATGAAAAAGATAATTTAATTGGCTATTTGGGTGTTGGTTGTCTCCCTGGTGGACATTTTGGCTATGGCAGAGAGGGTGGAATCGCAGGGTATAAGCGTGGCTACCAGAGTCCACTATGTGGTTGGGGAATAGTTCTTAGAGGAGGAGAGGGTTTTGTAAGCTGAAAAGTTACCTGAAAGGGATCTACCACATCAAATACCTCAGAGGATCTGAGTGTTTAAATGAGTAGCTGGGATAAATGGAGAAGCTAAAGATAGAAGATATGTTCATTCTAAGCCTATGAATCTCATATTTATTAAAAAAAAAAAACTCTGCAAGTATAACCACAAACAGTTATAGGCAATATGTTAAAGGAGATTAAATGGTAAATGAGGAATTAATTCAAAATGATATTAACAATGTTAACAAATTATAAATCTTAAAAGTTTCCTTCCGCTTTAATGTCATGAAATTGCTAAGTAACATCTTAGGAACTGCTAATCAAATATAGCAGAAGTGATGCCTAACCACCCCAGTTTGTATATTCTTTGAGGCACTCTATATCTTTGTTTAAACCACAGAGCCATTCAACATAATAGGTTCTCAGAAAATATAGTGTATCATGATATCACTTGGATATATAGATTTTCAAGTACTTTCCAACTTTTTTTTTGGTTGTTTCCTGCCTTCAGTTTTTACAGATTATGCCTTTTAAGTTGACATACCCATCAATTTTGACTTAGATTTTTGGACTCTTGATCAACAATAAATAGAAATTCATGGTACTTAAAAATAGTAAAGAAATTAGTATCTAAGATATGAAGGAATTGAGAGCCAACGAGAATATGGGATTACCTTCTGCACATTTTCTGTAGACAGGATGTATTTGATATTGTATGTAATGCTCTTTGTTCCAGAATTCCAATCTTGGGTGATTTTTCTCAGACAAATGTCAATCAGAATACCTTGTTTACTTTTATGAAAATTAAAATTTGAACCCATAGGTGTGTGCTTAGAATATATACAATTTGGAAGGTACAGTTCATTATCCATTGTGATGTGAAATTGTCAATAAATTATATAGTTATATTTTAATATGAGGCTTCTCATGTTTGTGTCAAGACTGTATAGAAGAAGATTTAGCTCAATTCAAACACATTTCAAGTATCCTAGAAATAAGGGCTTTTTTGTTCTTTGAGATATTTAAAAATTCCCTTTTACTAATTTGGATACCAAAATAAAGCTTCACTTAAATTTCAAATAGTATTTTCCAGTTGGTGGTGAGAATTTTCCAGCTGGTGGTGAGTATTTTCCAGCTGGTGGTGAATGGTATTAGGCTAAAGAGGCAAACGATGAAGCAAATGCAAATTGCAAACATTTAGCCTGTGGTTAAAAATCACATCTATCCCTTTCCTTTTAAATTTTATTTGTATTATAGATTTTTTTTTTTTTTTGAGATGGAGTTTCACTCTTCTTACACAGACTGGAGTGCAATGGCACAATCTCGGCTCACCTCAACCTCCGCCTCCTGGGTTCAAGCAGTTCTCCTGCCTCAGCCTCCCAAGTAGCTGGGATTACAGGTGTGCACCACCATGCCCAGCTAATTTTTATATTTTTAGTAGAGACGGGGTTTCACCTTGTTGACCAGGATGGTCTTGATCTTGACCACGTGATCCACCCGCCTCGGCCTCCCAAAGTGCTGGGATTATAGGCATGAGCCACCGCACCCAGCCGTGTTATAGATTTTTTGTACTGAGGATTACTTTACAGAGTTCATTCTACTTTAGAGACTTTTTAATTTGCATATAACAATGTATTCATTGAGGCTTCTTATATACTTTTAAATAAAATTCAGCAATTTTGTTTTTTAATTTGCTGGTGTGTTGTATGGCTCTATGGTAGAAGTATGGAAATATAATGCTTTAAGGAACATATTATTCAGGTGTCTTTTTATGTAGTAAGGACTAATAATATCCAACAGTTTTTGATGACTACTTATTGAATTATGTGGAAAGTGGGTGTTTTAGGAGTTCAGGAAAGGGTTTAGCCAACTAGAGTGGCCTGGGAAGGGCTTATTGAAGAACAAACATTGGAATTGTTCTTGGAAGGGTTTGTTGGTATTTATTTAGGAGAGAGGTAATCTAGATTAGGCCTTCTAGAAATGAGAATGCTCACATATATTCAGGGAAGAGTTAACTAATTTTGACTGCAGTGTTGGGTTCACATTTGAGAGAATAAGATACGCTTGGAAATACGTATTGAAGTCAGAATGTTGTAGATGATGAAGGGAGTAGCCTTCTGATGATAGCAACAGTGTTTTAGACTCTCAGTCTGTTGATTGCATGTGAGGAGGACCGGAAGAGTTAAGAGATGAGAGGCAGAAAATTAAATAAAACTACATGAATTGAACCAAGTTGATGGCTCTGAAAATGGACAGAAATGGCAAACTAATAGTTGAGGACCAGTCATTAATGATCTTGAGGACTGATTTCTTTATGGGCACAAAGGATATGAGAATGTATCAAAAGATAGTTCTGAAGTTTTAAACCTGGAAAGTAGTGAAAATAAGAAACTACCAGCAAACAAAAAGAAGATGGAAGGAATTAATGTTTTTTATGGGAAGATGATTTAGGTTTCAGAGAAGTCGATTTTATCAGTGAAATGTGTGAATATATGTTAAGCATGCAGAAACAGATGTGCGACTGGGGTTCAGGAGAGAACTCAGGAATAAACCACATTGTGATAAAAGAAACAGTAGCTGTGAAGGCTACTTTTTAAAGTTTGGGACCCAAAGACAAAAGGAGAAAAAGATTATAGATGGAGCTTAATGACCAATGCAAGATTTTTGTTCAGAAAGTAGGAAACGTATGTGTTTACAGATTGAAAGGAGAAGTGGGTGGATGGGAACAGACTAACAAGGCTAACCAATTAAGGGGACTTTACTGGTGATGAGAAAAGGAACAATGATCTTAAAATACCTGTGTTTTGAGATCAATATTTTATTTTACAAGGCCTCAGTCATTGGATTCTAGGACAGTAAGTATCTCAGAAGAGTTACTTGGATTAGCACATTTTCACACTTTGGTAGAAACACCATTCTGTCATTTTGGTGTTAACCATCTGAAATATGAGTGAAACAATGCGTTTATACACATCTTTCTGTTTTATATTAATTTGAAATTCTTTTCTGGTTTACTAGTCTTCTTTTGATCACAGGTTGTTGAAAATCTTATTAGCCGCAGTGCCAAATCTACAATATAATTGAGTCCCTGAGTTGAGTTGTTACTAGAGACCCAACTCAATATTCCCTCTGACCATTGGGTAGTTGGGGTGATGTATTAACAGGGATAGTATTTATCATTTTATTATTTTATCCACATACTGAATAATACTCTAGTGGCTTCTAAATAAGTAAAAAGTATTTACCAGTCTATTGACATGTTTTATACTTTCCCAGTACAATCCTTATTGTATAGAAAAGGAAATACAAGTCCATTTACTCCCACCTGTAGACCTGTAATTATTTGGGTGCTCTGGTATTGGGTGCATATATGTTTTCATTTACATTGTGTTGTTATTGATAGGTAAGGTTTCACTGCTGGCATTTTGTTACTTGTTTTTTAGTTGTTTTGTAACTCTTCCTTCTTACTGGTGTTTTAATTTGCTGCCTTTTGTTTTTAGTGTATCTATTATCAGTTTTTGCTTTGTGATAATTGTTTTAAATTGGATTGATTTTATAAGTAAAACCCGTTGGCAGTAGTTATTTATTTATTTATTTAGACAGAGTCTCACTCTGTCACCCATGCTGGAGTGCAATGGTGTGATCTTGGCCCACTGCAACCTCTGGTTCAAGTGATTCTTGTGCCTCAGCCTCTCAAGTAGCTGGGACTATAGGTGTGCACCATCATGCCTGGGGAATTTTTATGTTTTGTAGTAGAGACAAGGTTTCACTATGTTGGTCAGTCTCATCTCAAACTCCTGACCTCAAGTGATCCTCCCATCTCAGCCTCCCACAGTGCTGGCTGGGATTAAAGGCATGAGCCACCATGCCTGGCTAGAGGTTGATTTTTTTATAAAGCAGTTGCTTTTCTTATGTTGAAATTCTCAATATGAGTAGTGGCTATGGAAATTCTTTGCAGGTCAGGACCTCTTAGCTTCCTGTGGCCTCTCTATACCTCTCATTGGCAGGTTTGTTGGAGTATTTATCTATTATGTGTTATAGTGAGTGGTAAGATCATGGACTCCCTAGTCTACTAGGGATTACTTTGCAGGTCTTGAACCTCTGTAAGCCCCATTTTGTTATCTATAGTCTAAATTTATCTGTTAAAACTTTTGTGCTTTAAAGGAGATAATACATTTTACGTGGATTGACATGTTGCCTGTATCATAGTAAGCCCTCAGTAAATATTATGGCACTGCTGCTAATGCTGCTGTAGTTCAGAATAATGAGGATTAAATTGTAATTAAAGAGGAATGTTGATTAACTTACTCAGCACAATATCTGGCACATAGTGGATATTCAATAAAAACGTTCCTTTTACTCCCATGTTCAAATGCCCACCACACCCTCTTCCCCATGAATCTGTAACAAGTAGATGACTTACTAGCTATAATGAATCTTTTCTTAGATCCCCAGCTTGAAAAATGAAGGACCAGGTTAATATACTCCTGAATGTCAAGGATGAGGTTTTATAATTAGATTTGCATGGTTTAAAAGTAGTTTTTCTTAATAGTGCATTATAAATGTGTATATTAACTGGTTTATCTGGTTGTACAGATGCTGTTAACTGAGTACTTGGATATGAAAAATACTCGTACGGCCTCTGAACCGTCAGCTCAACTAAGCTATGCAAGCACTGGACGTGAATTTGCAGCCTTTTTTGCCAAGAAGAAACCTCAAAGGCCAAAAAATTCTCTTTTCAAGTAAGTATTATTCTGCTGGTAAGAAAATAGGTTTTACGAATTGTTAGACTGAAATAAGATGATTTCTAACCTTATTGATAGCCATAACTTTCTCTAGCTTAAGTTGATCGAAGTAATTTAGAGGAAGTGAATATATATTGACTTTTATTGACTTTTGTTTTCTGTCAGGTGAAGTAGCTGTTTGGGTATGGTTACTGGACTATCTGAAACTCCTAATAAAAATTTCTGGAACTTGTTTCAGGGGAGTTTTGTGTAAAATTAAGAGAAATGAAACTCCCCAATTGTTTCTGAGGAATTTTATATGAAATGAAAGGAAATGAAATATGTCAGCCTTCAAAAAGCCCCAGGAGCCAAGAAACAACCTTTGTTAATAAAGTTAGGCAAATATCTCTAGCTATGCAGTATTGGGCCTTATGTGGTTATCTGTTTAATAAAAGAACAATATCTGGGTTTGTTTTTTTTTAAATTACTGCCTCAGTTAACTCTACCAAGCCCTGTGCCCAAAGTGTATCTCGCTTAGCAACAGCTAATAGTTAACAATGTTGATAATAACTTCAGTAATAACAACAGCTACTGTTAACTAAGTGTTTCCTAGGTATCAGGCACTGTACTGGGTGAGTTTACCAAAATAATCTCAGTTAAAGGTACTTTAAATTGGATTATACTAAATTTCAGTAGCAGCAGCAGTAGCTAACATTTACTGAGTTCCTACTAAATGCTAATCAAGGCATTAAATAATTTTCATAGATTATTTACTCATTACAATAACTTTATAGGCAAGGGTTGTATTTTTTAATACCTTTGTAGACATAAAAAAATTGAGACATGAGAGTTTAAGTAAGTTATATAAGGCGACATAGCTAACAAGTGGTAGAAGGAGGATTTAAATCCTGACAGTTTTACTTTAGCCCTGTTTTCTTTTGAGGATTTAGTAGATATTTAAGAATTTGTGTCTGTAAATATATGCATGTACAGTGACTACCACAGAAGTATTCCAGTATATTGAATTTATTTTTTTTCAGCAGTTGAAACTCTTATACCTTCTACTGATTCATGTTTGAGGCTTGATTTTATCTTAGATTTGTAGTGTTTTTAAAGTTTCAACACTTTATTTTGTGATCTAGCAGAGAGAAGATTTATTTAGTATGTCCCTGCCAGAAATGAAATCTATTTTGTTTGTTGAATGCATTCCTTTTTAAACAGTTTTATTCAGAGTAGTTGCAATATCAGTTAAAATGCTTTAGGCTGCAAGTAACATAATAACTAAAATACAATAGATTGAACTATAGGAAAGTTATTATCTCACATAATGAAGATGAATGTGGAGGTTTCTTTAATTCAACTCTCCAGTATCATAAAGGACTCAACTCTTTCTATCTCTCTGCATTTCCATCCTCCACACATTAGTAATGTTTTCTATTGTCATAACAAGGTTTATCCATCGGTTCCAGTCCTGTAAAGACAGTGTTGAAAATAAAATAGTATGCGATTCTCCCTGTGACTCTCTCTTTAAAAAAAAAAAAAAAAGACTTTATTTTTTAGAGCTGTTTTAGGTTTATAGAAGAGTAGAGCAGGAAGTAAAGAGAGTTCCCTTATAATTCCCCCTTCTCCCCATTTTACCATATTAACATCTTGTATTAGTGTGATCTGTTCATTAGAATTGATGAACCAGTATTGAGATGTCATTTTTAACCAAGTTCCATAGTTTACATTAGGGTTCACTCTTTGTGTTGTGCAGTTCTGATGGGTTTTGGCAAAGGCATAAGGTCATGTATCCACCATTACAGTGTCATACAGAACAGTTGTACTGCCCTAAACATTTTCCATTTACCACATGTTCATCCCTCCAACCTCCGTAAACTCTGGCAACCTCTGATCTTTTGACTCTCTCCGTAGTTTTTGCGTTTTTCAGAACGTCATATAGTCAGAATCATACAGTGTGTAGCCTTTTCGGAATGGTTTCTTTCACTTAGCAATGTGCATTTAAGTTTCCTCCACATCGTTTTGTGGCTCTATAGATGTCTCTTTGTATTGCTGAGCATAACATTCTTTTGGGTGAATATGTCATAGCTTGTTTATTTACCTAGTAAAGGACATCTTGGTTGCTTCCAACTTCGGGCAGTTATGAACAAAGCTGCTCTAAACTCGTGCAGATTTTGTTGTGGACATAAATTTTCAACTTGTTGTAAATACCTGGGTGCCACATTGCTGGGTCATATGGTAATAGTATGTTTAGCTTCCTAAGATGCTGTCAAACTGTGTCCTAAAGTGGCTGCACCATTTAAAAATTTTAAAATTAATACTAGTTATCAATTTATTTATAATTTCTGCTAGTGACAAAGCCCCTCTGCAAGTTCCCATTAAGCTCTAGGATTGGGTCTTATACCCATTTCTAAACCAGTCACTGGCAAGGTGAAGCAGATCTCAGTGTTTGCCTTAAACTAGGCAGGTTCCTCTCTGGTGCTAGGTTTCCAGCTGGAGAGGAAGCCGCTTTTTCTGAGCACATGGCTGAGTAAAGAGCAAGGAAGCAGAATGTCCAGATGGAATCAGGGCTATGTCAGCAAGCACAAAGATAGTGGAAGGAAAAGGTGGTTGGTAGAGGCAACTGAGACTGTCTCAGATGCACCTAACCAGGCCCTTTCCTTTTTTTTTTTTCCTCCTTTCTCTCTTTTTTCTGTTCTTTTCTCTATTTCTGGCTCCATTTAGCCTTCTAAATATGGAATAGTTTCAAAAAGCAGGCTGTAGGGTTTTTAGAGTTCATGCTCTCAACCATCACCGCTGACTTTCAACCTCAGTCAGACCGCATACACACTTTCAGACATTTAGCCAATGCTTCTCGAAGTTGTGGTATTGGAAAAATGTATACAAATTGTTGGAAGTGAACAAATTAGCTTAAATAGTTGTTACATATTATTATTGGGCAGTAATGAAACTTATCACAGACACAGAATTAGGCCGTTATTACAGATTTGTGTATTTCCAGTCTTGGTTCTGTCGTGGAACCCATGTGTGCCTGAGCAGGTCTCATTGCTTCTGTGCCTATAAAATAAGGAGGTGAGACTCAGTAATGTCTAGTGCCTCTTTTACTGCAAGATTGTATCAATCTGTGACTTGTTGCGGGCACAAAAAGAATTCCGAAGTGCAAAAATACATCAAGTCATAAAGGATTAAGATTTTGGGGAGCCATAATCTATTTCTATCACATCTGTGAAGGACTTCAGTACCTCTTTAATTGCCCCAGCTAAGGTTAATTAAGTGTGTTTAAGTCCTGCCTTACTGTGCTATGTGTGCCTTTCTATTCATTGCTTAAGAGTTTATTTTTTTTCTTTGCCATATCTGATCAATAGCTGTCAGCATGCTTTTTGGAGGTCAGTGGCTTCTTTTCTGCACTTGACTGGCAGGTGGCACGTTTGAAGTACTGCACACTTTGCCTTCTTTCCGGCTGTTAGTGCCCTCTTAGTTCTTGGCAGGGTGCAGAGAGGAGATCAAGTAACCCAAGTGTTTCCCTCACAGACTGACATTCATCTCAGTATTCATCTTCCTTGTCAAGGAAAGGATAAAGAAGGCATATTAAGAAAATGATGGTGTGCCTGCCTTGTTGCCAGAAACCTATCCCATTAGCACTGTTGCTCTTACTATATTGCTGCTTACCCCTTAGTGGCAGTCATTCTTAGAAGGATTCCTCCGTCTGGCAGGTTGTTATCCTGCCTTTGAAATCTCGGTTTGAAATGGAATCTCTTAGCACATCAAAGGATTTACTGTTTGAAATAGTCATACTTTTATGTTTTTTTTCTTACCTGCACGTTTCTCTTAAGACTAATTTGTTTTTGTTATTTCTCTTTATAGTTATTATTTTAGGTTTTAGAGACCTGTTCTTTATCATGCGTCTCTCCACTTCCCTCCTTCACCTGTGTGTCTAATCTCTGAAATAATTCCTGGGTAGGTATGAACAAACATTTTGTAGCTTGGTATTTTTGAGCGTATCTTACATGGTAGGCAGCAGGTCAAAAAACTAGCAGCCATTTGGAAAAAAGACTGTTTTTTAGACCAGTTAGGGAGAGCCCGTAGATGCCTTGTTTGTCTGGTGCCATTATTCAGCTGCATTTCTAGTATGTCCTTTGTCTAGTCCTCCTATGGGAGGTAGAAAGGTACAAGTTCTGCTCTGAGGACCCAGTGTGTCTGTGTTGGCAGCTGGCAGTCACTGGTGGCTTTTGAGCTGGATGGTAACATAATTAGAATGACTTCATAGGATGCTCTCGTTGCTGTTTGTGTAAGGATCCTGGCAAAGGCTGATAGGGGTCTGAAGGCAAAAGGAAGTTGGGGCAAATCAGAATTGTGCCAGTTGAAATGGAGAATAAGCAAAAGATCCAGATATGGTTGTAAAGGAGCCTTAGCCAGGAATATCATTCGTAAATCAAGGTCTGTGGCAGCTGGCCCTGGCCCTGTCTTGGTATAGCCAAAGTGTCATCATCACGGAACATTGGGGAGCATCACATAGACCAGAGTAGAATACATGGAGGACTGCACTGATTCGATTGACACCTGTTTGTCTGTTTCCCCTGTGTTTCATTGCAGGTTCGAATCGTCCTCCCATGCCATCAGTATGAGCGCCTATCTGCGAGAACAGAGAAGGGAGCTCTATAGTCGGAGTGGAGAACTGCAAGGTGGGTGATGGGGCTTCTCTGGAAAAATTAATTTTCCAGAGGACTATATGGAGCCTTTATTTCACGTGAGTTTGTGGCCTGTATTCACAGGATTCTTTCAAGATAACAAATGCTTGATGACTTAATGATTTGTTTCTTCTATAATTTCCCAGCAACTGCTGCCAAGCAGGTAACACTATTACTGTGGCCATAGGACTTATAGACCTGCCACTGTTCAAGTGGGAATTCAAAGCAAAAAGAGATGAGGCCAGCCTCATCTTGCTTAGTTAGAAGACCTGAGTCCAGTCACAGTCTAGGAGAATGCCTGTCTTCTGCGACTGCCACTGTGACTTCTAACTGTTGTTTTTGACACCTTCTGGAATATGACAGGGGTGCCTGAGATTTGGGAAAGGGCAAATGCAACCACTGCCATTATTTAAAGGGAAAAAAGTGCCTCTAAAGAGTATGTTATAATCATCAACATACCTGATACACAGCATGTTTGATACCCATGCATGGTTACCAAAGAGTTGTAAACTGAAGAGAATATTTAGAAAATAAATTAACTATTAATAAATTAAAAAAATCAGACTTAATGTTTTCTTCTGGGACAAAAAGATGCTGATTATAGTAAATGTAAGGAGTTATGAAAAATTTAGAATTCAGGTGTGGTGACTAATACCTGTAATCCTAGCACTTTGGGAGGCTGAGGCGGGCACATCACTTGAGTCCAGGAGTTCAAGACCAGACTGGGCCACATGGTGAAACCCTGTCTCTACAAAAAGATACAAAAATTAGTTGGGCATGGTGGCTTGTACATATTCCCAGCTACTCAAGAGGCTGAAGTGGGATTGCTTGAGCCTGAGAGGTGGAGGTTGCAGTAAGCTGAGATCACACCACTGCACTTCATTCAGCCTGGATGACAGTGTGAGGGCCTGCCAAGCGTAAGACATCTTAGGTATTTGAAGTAATGGAAGTTGGGCGTAAAGAAATATAAAGCCTAAAGATCTAGTTATGAAAGTAAAGTGTGTGTGTGTGTGTGTGTGTGTGTGTGTGTGTGTGTGTATATGTCAGCAATATCAGGAAGTAACTACTAACAACTGCTTATTCTCCAACTGAGTGGATGTTGTGGATAAATTGCTAAATAAATTACAAGAAGGGAGTCATTACTTAAATTATTTTAGAATTCTGGGCTTTTCTCCATGAAGGATGGGAATAAATTCTTTTACTGTCTTTGATGCATTGGGAGCAGTTAGCATTTTGCAGTGACTGGCTTGTGTAATTAAATATTTAGTTTTTAAGACTCATAATTCTGTACCAAAATACTACGAAATAACTGCTCAACCTTTCTTGATTTAAAGACTATTGTCATTCCTAACTTCAGCTTTATTATTAATAGAATAACATCTAAGTTTGTCCAAAGATGCTGCTGTACTCTCTCATATTTATATCATAGTAATAGTTCTATAGCCCATATGTGTGGTCACAGAAGTAAAAGCCTAGGAGTATGTTCAGGGTATGAGGAAAAGGAGATTAGCCTACCAACATTTTATTTACTATTAAAGCGTTGTCATACCTTCTGGAAGACATGCAGTGTGCAAGTTAAGAGTCTCGATGTAGAGGAGTACAGGCAGTAGTTACACTCGGAACACGTGAGAGGACAGAAAGGAGTGAAGGAGGAGGGTGACCCATGCTCTAGCCGGCTGCTGCCTCCCAGGAGAATAGGCTAGGCTGCCAAGAGTGCACGGAAAATGGTGGTAACAGAACACACGTTCTTGCAGGAGGTAGGATTGTGCTGGAGCTGGCCTTAGAAGGCTGTCTAAAGCGAGTATATCTTCCACACTCATGGTGTCCTAATTTTAATTTATCTTCAGAGTTGGCTTAAGGAATAGTTTAAATTTGCCTCCATATTTTCTCTCCCCCGTCTGTCCTCTAATACACATGAATTTATTTAATGGTGACAAAGTGTCTCCTTTCTTCTTCTTTTTTAGTTCGAGTCCTGATTATTTTCTTTCTTAAAAATTAATAAACATTATCTGTGAGAGCAGTTATAAGGTCACAGCTAAACTGACTGGAAAGTGCCAAGTTTCCTTATGCTCTTGTCCCCACACATGCTTACCTTCCCCCAGTGTCGATGTCGGCAGCACAGTGCAGCCTTCCATTCGACCCTTCCAGACGAACAGGCAGAGCATGTCCCTGTCGTTACGTAGGGACAGGGGACCTCTCATCCCCCACTCACACTCAAACACAATTAGTCAACAAGGGCACAGGACTGGTGGCAGATTCTTTCTGCTTCTCTGAGTGAGAATGGAGAGCACTCTGTGCAGCAGCCATGGGGAGGCTTTTCAGTCTTGCCCCAGTGGTCCACGTGCTCTTAAGAGACAGTATAGGGTGGCAGTGCAGAGTAGGTGGCTCTGGGCCCAGGTTACCTCCAGTTAGAAACCTAGGTCCCTAGCACTTGCTTTGTAACCTCCGGCAACTTCCATGGTCTCTGTGCCTCTCTTTTCTTTTGTCTAAATGGGAGTAAAAGTAACACTCTGGGCCAGGCGTCAGTGGCTCACTCCTGTAATCCCAGCACTTTGGGAGGCCGAGGCAGGTGGATCACAAGGTCTGGAGATCGAGAGCATCCTGGCCAACATGATGAAACCCCATCTCTACTAAAGATACAAAAAAATTAGCTGGGTGTGGTGGTGCATGCCTGTAATCCCAGCTACTTAGGAGGCTTAGGCAGGACAATCACGTGAGCCAGGTAGTTGGAGATTGCAGTGAGCCAAGATTGTGCCACTGCACTCCAGCTTGGCGACAGAGCAAAACTCTGTCTCAAAAAAAAAAAAAAAAAAAAGGCAACACTCCGTATTCCATGAAGTGATCGTGAAAGTTAGGTGAGCTAAGCTAGGAAGTGTTTCAAAATGCATCTGACATATACTGAATGCTATGACTTTTTTCTTCTCTTTTGATGATTTCTAGTACTGTGATGTGACTTCAGAGTTTTCACACACATTCTGTTTGTCCTTTCTGTCATCTTTACATGGCTAAACCCTCCTGAGCTTTCCAAGTTAAATTTAGGTATCACTCGTTCCTATGTGCTTCCTTGCTGGTCCCACCTCTCAGCCTGTCACAAATACACACACGTTTGGGGTTGTGGCCCCCTCTGTGTGTTCCTGCCACGACTGTAATGATATTCTTCTGAGTACCTTCCATACTGCATTGTGGAACAGTGCTAACTTTTTTGAGTTTTTCACAAAATTATAAGCTCCAAGAGTAAAATACCATTTTATTTTCTGTGCTTCGCACAGCACTGGGTGCAATAAATGTTTGATAAATGTTGGTTGACTTAGTGACTGAATGAATGAGGACAGTTAGGATCTAAAGTAGGATAGAGAGCACCATAGAGAGGCAGAAAGGGCCTGAAAGGAGCCACTGTCAGCTTTATAGGTTTCCATTAGTCTTTAAGTTGAAGGCAAAGTGGAGGGTATACACATAGGGTTTTGTCCTCTGCAGTTACAAGCTTTATTAAGTAGAAATGTTGCCCTTGAGCTGTCTGGCCCAGGACAAAACTACTGTATGTAATTGAAAAACATTTTCAAATGTAAGTGACAGAGAAATTTTGCTCTGATGTGAGGATGGTTAATGGAAAAATCACTATAATCTAGGAATTTTCCCATTCTTCAAAAAGTTAATTGAAATATGGGCTTTCAAGCACAAGTTTATCGAACTTACCAGTTTTCAGCAAGGAATATTTCTGGTTACAAGAGAAAGTAAGAGTTAGCAAACACGTTATATTCCTAATAATTATTAAAAATACTTTAGATGAGATTACATATTGCACACTTGGTGAGAGAATGAATGAGTGGACCAGTTTTTTTTAGAAGTCTGATGGTGTTTCATGCAGTAGGAAAAATTGCTCTGATGAATGCTTTTAACATTTCAAAAGGAAAAAAGAGCAGAAAATCATACCTGTCTTCTATTAAAAATGGCTGTTCTTTTTCAATTATTTCATCAATTTGACTGGTCTAAGGACTGCGGTAAGATCTGCAGTTCAGCTTATCCCTGAAAAGGCAAAACTGAATAGTTCAGTCAAACCATGAGAGACGAGGGGAAGATTTTTGTTTCTTCTGTTAACACCACATGGCTGTAGGCTTTGTTTCCCAGTGGTTTCGGTTCATAGGTCAACTTTTCCTTCTGTTGCAGGGGAGCGGCAAAGAAATCCACCAGAAAGACAATCAAAGTAATGTTAAAAAACTCAAATTTTGCAAAAGTGAAGTTTCTGCCAACATTTTCAATTTATCATACAATTAGAAATGTTACTCAGTCTAACAACGCACAAGGGGATAAAAGGATTTAAAAAATGAGATTTCTTTGGTGTTATCAACCCATCTCAATGGGCTCTGACTGTTACGGTACAGATGGTTCATTATATAGTCTGCTGTTGGCAGTTGGGCTGCGGAGATGGGGGTGCTGCTTCAAAATGTGTGAGATACCAGGTGGAAATTTAACTTGTGGATGTGTCTGTGTTAATCATAGGCTTCCCGTGGTTTTAGCCTCTGCTGCTTCATTGTGCTTAGACAGCAGTGTTGTGAGTGAAGGAAGATACAAGTTTTAATGGACATTAAATTTGAATATAGTTTCTCAGGTTTAATGTGTAGTTCTACAGGGGGATAGATGAATGTATTATCTGGTAAGGGTTAAAAAAATAATCTGAAGACTGCCACTCCTGACCAAATAAGCTCACAGGTTTATCAGTGACATTCTGCCTCAGTTTTCTCATAGGAAAAAAAATGGAAATGTTATCAGTCCTGACTACTTTAGGGGAATGTTGTGACTATTAACTTAAATATTAAATTATTAATATTAGAAATTTCTAAATTAGAAAAATTAGAATAGCAATGTTGATTTAGGTTATAAAGTGGTGTTTTAAAAAGTAATTATGGGTCTGGCGCGGTGTCTCATGTCTGTAATCCCAGTACTTTGGGAGGCCGAGGTGGGCAGATCACTTGAGGTCAGGAGTTCAAGACTAGCCC